GTGTAATTATGCATATCAGTTCTCCTGCTGAGGAATAAAGCGGTGGTTATCAAGGAAAAAATGCCCTCTTGGTAATACGAGGATTTCAGGAAGGGAACTTACGACATTGATAAATCGTTGTTGATCGATTTTTATTTCATAATTCTTCCGTAGTTGTGCAATGCTTTTCAAAATTCTTATTTACTATTAATCACAAAAAACTGATTTATTTGACACAACCGCCGCACCGTTGACAGCAAACTAGTTGAGCACTTGAATAGTTGCTTCTGATTTGTTGATAAGAGGCGACTGGCTGTCAAAGGAGAGGGAATGCAGTCATATGGAGGGGCGATGGCAGTCTGCTACACAATCAGAGGTGGGTAATGGCACATGAGTATGAGAACTACTGTGATGAACAAAATGATCAGTGCGACAGTTAATTGCTTTTAGACGCCAAATGTACTCGAATAAACTTAACTGACATTCTGACTGATTTTATTCGATGAATTCGACTCAGCCTAATGGATGTGAGCTTGAACGATGCCATTATAATGAGGCCTTAATTGAGATTTAGAGGGAACGTTCATTTAAGTTTTTAATATTTCCGAGGATTAGGTTCTACCAAATGCATGAGGTGATGCACACAATAGAAGCATTCNGTCAAAATATCGGTCTGAAACCCTGAGAAAAGGGTGGAATCTTTGGCTGGTAAGACTGTATAAAAGACAGCTATCTGAAGCTTAATTCCTCTTCGGCTTATTCGTCTGATTATCTTATTCTCTGGAGGCGTAGGCCTCAAAAATATATTTGCAAGGCAATTGCCTCGACACTATATTCTTGAGACAATGGTCTCAATTCGGTACTCGGACGACGGACGTCTTATCCCGACATCCTGTCAAACACCTGTATTCAATATTTGGTCAACGAACGACTCAATTCGTTATTCAATCAAGTAATAATCCTCAACTCGTTATTCTCAACACAGTGATTCATATTATTGCGTTATTATTGTATTGTTGTCCAACTATCCCTTCTAGTTCCCAAAAAGTCTACGGTACGAGTCACAGAAACAGTCCGCATTTTTCGCAATATCAGAAAAGGGTGTCACATGTAGAAGGACGAACAAAATGTCAGAAAAGTTCTGTAGCGATTGTCGATCAAAGGGAAATGAATAAAATATCAAATTAATTCACATTCGCTATGCGATCATGCTAGTAAACAGGACGCATCCCGTTCTCAGCATAAACCTTGCTTATGAATAGTTCGTGCGGATGTCTGGAAAATATGATTGAAAATTTGACAAATCGAACGACTGAGAAGTGAACACATGTTGTTAAGGAGCGATGGGAACCGATCAAAATATCAAATTTCAGAATCTTGAAAAATGGATTTGTTCGGATTGCGACTGAAAATTCTGAAATTCGATCTAAATACAGAGTTCCGAAATTTCAAAAAATGGTTTTGTTTAGGTTCTAGTCGAAAATTTTCAAAGCCACTCGGAATAACGAATTTCCAAATCTTTAACTATCACTAAAGCGCAAGTCGTTCAGTTTTTGCACGAGGATTTTTTTAAAATTTTATTTCAAGCAAAGCCTGATTTTTTCTTATGCTACAGGCAACGACGAACAAATGAAGTTGTGCTGGACAGGTACGCAACTAGACCGATGCTCTCGATTATAATAGCAAACGATGATAAACATCTTTATGAATCATCGGAAAGTACGAATTAATTAGCCACACAACGAGCACTAACAATCAGTGCTCATTAATGCTCGTTGTGTAGCTAATTAATTCAGCCGCTCTGCACAGACGCCTTTCAATTTTCATAATACAGCTTCGAAGGTAATAGAATTGATGAGTTGCATCACTGCAACGAATTATTTGCAGCAACGGTCACGAGGGAACACTTAATGTACGCGTGCATGTGCTTTATCAAGAAAAAATTTGCTGGAAATAACTGAGATTGGGATTTTCGGGTGTGAGAGATCGAGCACGAGATAATCGATCAAAAACGAATTTCGAATATTTGAGTTGACGAAGTTAACATTCATTCCAANCACTTGAATGAAGGTGATTGAAGTCAGTTGCGATAGAATGCCATCTTATTAAAAAAACCTCAATATGTCATCGAAGTTCAACGTTAATCTGCCGATCTAAAAGCTCAAACTGATCACAGTTCCATTTATTCGTAAAGTTTGAACACGGCATGTTTTTTCATTAAATCATTGACATCATCAGCAATTTCAAAAATTCGCCAGTTTCAATACAAAACTCAGACATAATCAGTAAATTCATTCAAATCTTATACGGTGATTGTTCACTAACAAATTTTAAGGAATAGAGTTTGCAAAATTCCCACGAGCACTCGACTTTCAAGCTCGTTAATAAAATCCTCAAATATGCGATATGAATGAAAGAAATATCGATATGATCATACGGGGAAAATCTTTTGATCTATTGACATTTTCTGAATCAATCGCACAAATGAGCAGAACAGCATAATTGAAATCGAAAACAACTGATTTTTCCAAAACTTATAAAAATTAGCCTAACAATTGAATAATATGCCATAATGGTCAAAGAGTTATTATTGACTGAGTTAACAGCCTTTAACTTAAGTCATTGTTGCTTATATTGAACTTATTATAATTGTTATAGTAATCATTACTCTTAGTATGACTGATGTTGTGATTCTTGGCTGCAATTTTTCCTGAAACGCTACTCACCAAAACTAGTTCGTACTTTCAAATCCTCCTTCAAAAATTGTGATCGCGAGGCTCATTCGTTCGGGAAAAAACAGTCACTGCGCCACTAAACAGCCAAAAAATTTCATTTCATAATGCAGCAACAAAAAATCATTCCAGCAACAAAACCAGCTAGCACGGAAAACAAACTACCAACCAAACGATGACGACAAAATTCAGAAATGAAAAGCAATCAGCTGGCAGCAGCCCGTATTGCATTACCTCATTCACTTTTAAGAGTATCAACATGCCGAGCATTTCATTTGAAATTCTAGATTCGTCCACTTCTAGATTATATATCGACTGTCTCAGTCCCTTATGTTGCATTTGAATTCTGGATCGGCGGTGCAAATAAGCGAACATCACAATCATACACACAGAAGATTCAGACATGAATCCGTAAGACTACCATCCCATCTCATTTGCCACACACGAACTAGCAGCAATTTCTGAAGTTTCGGAAAGAACAATATCAACCAAACTGAGAAACTGCTTTACAGGGAATGAAATGTTTTCCTCTTTCAATCATTCTTGATAGGAGATTAATTGTTGCGTCTCTACTTCGATCCTAGCAAAATCGGGTGACTCACTGATTCTGAGGCAAAGGAGGCACGTCGACACTATATATTTCGACTTTGAAGAGCGTTTGATTCGCTATCTGCGCTTAAATCATCCTTAAATTTACAACCATTTGCCATACGAGGTTATTGGTTCCGACTTTCTTACGAATCGTTTTCAATCAGTCCAACTATTGATTCATTCAGTTCGATAGAAAACAGCAGCAGTGCTGTTCATTAAAGTTCCGTTTAGCGTAAATGCTATCGAATGGTTTTGCTAACATTGAAAAAACTAGCTGATTTTCAGAATGTGTCTCAAGCAGCTTGACGGCGCTCATTTCAATACGCAGTATTTCCATTGATCAATATGCGTTTTACTGTAGTACTATAATACTAGTGGTACTATTTTCAAATTACTGTTGTTCTCAGGTTTGCCCAAAAACATTGCCATTTCTTCACGTCATTGCATTCCCCAGATTCTCTTCTTTCAGAAATGTATACATGTTGTCCGGCGATTTTGCTTAGTTGAGGAGATTTAGCTGATTTTCTGAATGTATCTCAAGCAGCTCAGCGGCGCTCGTTTCAACACAATGTACCACAGTTGATCAATGTGCGCACTGCTTTAGCAGTGGTTGTCAACATTTTTTCACTCAAACTCCCTAAAAAATTTTGAGATGTGCTTGCACCCTTCGCTGCGATGATTTGTCTGTGAGTGAAATTAAACGTGATCGAACGAATCTTCTAGCATAATTTATTTTTATTAACACTAACACTAATTTATTTTTATTAACACTAACACCAGGATATAAGAAAAGAAAAGAAATTACAAAAAAAGTAATAGTTGATTAAGCTGAAAATAATTGTTTATCCATGCACGAAACCTTTCCAAAAAGTTACACACTAACATCCACCCCATCTTCTTTAAACACATGTATTCGTTGATACCCGCCCTCGCCTACTTTACCGTGTAAAAAATGAAATGTTACTTCGTACACCCCGGAATACGATTTCTTACCCGCATGGATGCGAGCATCCCTGGTTAAGAAACACTTTTTTACAAGAATCATCCTATTGCTTTTTCCGGCAGTATATTTCTCTTTGTTTCGTAGTATTCAAAGATGAAAGTTCCTAACGATGCTTACGTTTTCACTGAGATTGAACCATTCATATGATCCGATTCATCCCATTGCTCTACTCATCTGCTTTCAGTATAGTATTATTCTGCAGTATTTGGCAAATACAGAAACTTTTTTGTTTCAGTTTTAATGAACCATTCCATCGGTTCGATCAGTGAAACGGTCATTCGATAACCGAGCTCTCTCTTCTGGCGTTCTCTATGCAACCATGCGTATTCAACCGTGTACTGGCTTGCATGATTCAATTTGATTCAGAGGATTTGAAGGTATCTCAACCGCTCATCTTGCTCACTGTCTCACAAATGAATCGCTTATTATGTTACAACTGTTCCTTTTAACAATAATGAATATGAAAGAATTTTATTGAGATATTTCCGACTGCATCATGTGATGTGTTTGTGTTAATTATTTGTGATATAGCACTACGTTACAGCAATGAATATTTAAAAAAAACTCAAATACTGAAATAAAAGACAATAATCACACAATAGAACGTCACAAAAACATCCCAAAATCAGATGAGATTATGTCTTCAAACCCTATCCGCAGTTCAAAAATAAGCCTGAAATGGTGTAAAAGCATATTTAAGCGGTCGCTGCCTTTCTATTGTCACCAATATTGTACTGTTGCATCCTTTCTTCTAGCATCGGACGGAAGTGACGAATTAAACCCTGAAAGGATTTAGAGATGACACTTGACATTGCATTATCATTGTCATTTTGATCATTACTCATCCTACTGATTACAGTCAACTTTGAATTATACGATGTGTATTTCCGTTCGGCATTTGCAGACAGTAACGAAACAGTGAAGAGTGAGTGACCTGTACAGGCCATGCGGCTGCATCAGCAAGTGCACAGATGGTATGTCCCTCCATGTGTCTGCTTATCTCCCACAGCATATCAATTTCATCCGGTTTTGCTCTGCCATCCACGAAACGCCACATTACTTTATTCAGCCAATGACATCCTTCACGGCATGGTGTACACTTAAATTTCAAACAATCAGTATTGTTTTTTGTGCTNCTAAGAAATACGTCTTTAACTATGACGTATTCGCTTAGATCAAGCAAAATGAATATGAAAGTGCAGAACAATTAATATTCAAACTTGCAGATTCATCTAAAATTTTTTACTGTGGCAACATTAACCTAATGTGATTCGAACTGATGACAGTGATTGAAGAAACGAAATGAACATAAAAATGATATAGAGACCTGTCCACAACTTTCATGTTTGTAGAACAGCGAGAGTCTGGCAATACACTTGACAATGTCGACCTGTTTATTCATCACAATCACTGCAGCAGTACCCAATCCACTCTTCACTTGAACCAACGAATCAAAATCCATCAATACTTCCTCACATATTCTTCAAATTTATACTTTATTTACATTGATTGAGATATATAAAGAAGAAAATAAAGAGTAAAATGGATACTTTTTGGGTATGAGAGGTACAGAAGAACCACCAGGAATGATAGCTAAAAGATTATCCCAACCACCAATAACACCACCACAATGACGTTCAATAAGATCCTTGAGTGGAATCGACATCTCTTCCTCAACCGTGCACGGATTCACGACACATCCAGAGATACAGAACAGCTGCAATTCATCATATCTCACACCGCACATTCATAATTCATTCATCCACTTTACCAAAACTATTCACAAATGCTGTGCAGTCAAATTGTAAATAAGGTTAAAATAACACCGTTAATAATGATAACAATAACACAACGGCAAATTTGTAGTTAGTGTTTGCGACAAAGGAGCACTACTACAAGCTTCAGCTTGCACTCTGGATAAGCTTTAACCTTATGGCTGAGCAATTAACATGAACCCGAAGTGAACCTCAGGCTAAAGCCTATGATGAGCCTCAGTCGAAAATGCGATTAGCTTTAATCTGAGGCTTGTTTATAGTCCAGTACGCATTCACGAACACATTAAATGCTGATAGTATCAATGAAGACACCATCACTATAACTAACATATCAATAAACTAACGCACTTTTGTACCATGATTTCGTTCTCTTCCAAACGAGGCAAACCAATTACCACCACGTCTGCAAATCGTTGGTGCTACAGCTACGGTCTCAACGTTTGTGACGGTGGTTGGACATCCGAATAAACCGATATCTGCTGGGAATGGTGGCTTGAGGCGAGGCTTTCCTTGCTTACCTTCCAACGATTCTATTAATGCCTGAAATTACACCTATTCGATCACCATTTCCCCACTTCAGTTGCGTTCCAAATAATAATTATTACTATTCTACTGAAAAATATCACTCGTTCCAAAGTCGTATTACAACATATTAGGAGACAATAACGTAAAACACACCGTTTCTTCACCACAAATGTAAGCTCCGGCACCACGGTGAACAAATATATCGAAACTGTAACCAGTGCCACAACAATCCTTACCCAGATAACCCGCCTGAAAGCTTGACATTACTGCGTTTCAACCATTCAATTGCACACCTTCAGCCAGAAATAAGGAACCTTGTAAGCTTCAGATTACAACAAAAGAAACCTTATAAGCTTCATGAACAGCTTCTTGCAGATTGCAACCTTCATTGTAGAATTCACCGCGGATATAAATATAAGCAGCACGAGCACCCATCGCAACGCCCGCAATGAGACAACCTTCCACCAATTTATGTGGATCGTGTCTCATTATTTCACGATCTTTACACGTGCCTGGCTCACCTTCGTCTGCATTCACCACCAAATACTTCGGTCTTAATTTATATCACTCTTCACTGATCACAAAATAACACAAATCCATTTCAAAGTAAAATTACATACTTGTAGTAAAGCACGTATAAAGCAATGGATCAAGCACTTACCGTCCATCAAATGGTCTTTTCATAAAACCCCATTTCATACCACTTGGAAAACCGGCGCCGCCTCGACCGCGGAGTCCAGATGTGCTGATCTCTTTGAGAATCCACTCTTGACCTTTCAATATTATCTCCTTGGTTTTGTACCAATCCCCCTTAAATAAGTTGCACAAATTCAAATAAACTGAATAAAATCAGCTCCTGTCTCAAGTTTCAAATTAGAACACTGCTAAATTATACAGCATAACATAATGAACAAATAGAAGACTACCATTAATATATGCACTACTGTAAGTAAGTCAACCCATATGGATATACTTCAGCACATACCCTTGCAAGAGCACCCTTCAATTTATAATCATGACGTCCATATAAATTGGTGAATATTCGATCGTTATCACTCAATGGACCAAAGGATGTCTTCTTCGGTGCTTCTTTCTTTTGTGCTGCGCTCGACACTAATGTACGTGCAGAACATATACCCACTCCTGGTAATAAATCGATATTCACTTCAATTTTTTCATATCTGCGTGGATATCATATCAGTATGAGTACACAGACAAATGCGTCTAAAATCCACCCCATAAAATGCTTCACCTATCCAACTCACGCATCATTCCATCACAACTCAAACTTAAAAATAAGGACGGAAAAGTATCTTATACGAATACGACGTTATGCTGATAAACAAACCATTTCGCTGAAGAGTGCGATTCACGATGACGGCGAGAGTTGATGTCATTTTGTCTTTAATATCGTCGCACTAAAATAGCAATTCTCACAGCAACTTTACGTTATTCTCTCAACTAGTCAAACGTTCGATTAGCAAATGATAACATGATCGTTTAAGATATACAAACATATACTCTCTCTCTCGACTAGTCAAACGTTCGATTTATGGCAAACGTAAACAACTTGTTTGATACGTAATAAACACTCATATGAGATCCTAGAAGACTGAACATGAGAAGGGTCCCAATTGATTGACTTAATACATCCCTAGAATTAACATGATAACAACTGAGGATAGGATTGATTTAGTTTTCAGCATTTATTTCAATCATGACAACAGATGAGCACGTGCAGATCGATAAACATGCGATATAGGTCGACATAGAAAGGGGTGTGGCATAACACGCGTCAGCCGTCGAAGACATTCTGCCACAGCTCTTTGCAAATATTCACAATTGCTTCTTCGAACAACAAGTATCCCAGCTAACAGTGATTCAAATTAAGTGGATAGCCATGATCGCGGCTAATTGTGAGAAATAATCACTCAACAGTTAACTAAATACAGTTTCGGCTTATGGAATGAATATATTTAGCTCACTTGAGGTGCAGATTAGGTCAAATGCATGTTAACACCAACTGAAAGAGTCCTTACTGCGCAGTACTGACGCAATGTGCAGAATAGTTCAAATGCATGCTAAAGCCAGCTGAATAATAACGACAAGTTCATATCAAAGCACTTGACCTAGACTGCACTTCAGCTGGATACTGCACACTATGGATTCAGTTACTATTAGTGTGCATCTGAGCCATACTGCACGATACGTTAATGCTGTGCGATATGCGTCCACTTCATCTAACGCACTTGTAGTTGCAGTGGCCTGTAGTTGCCAGTCGTATGAGCAAGACGTGATACTGAT